GCGATGATGCAGCAGCAGCAGCAGCAGAACTGGAAGCAGGAGATGGCCAGTTCCACTGCGGGAAGCCCTCCAGGGGCCTCATCCGGCCCCCGGGCCACATGTTTGACACCCATGTCCTAATGCATTGGTTATGGAATGTCCCATTCTGTCAATCATACTGACTTACTCTCTGTAACCCACCTTGAGCCCCTGTGGGAAAGGTGGAAACATTAAAATATTTTAAAACTCTTCCACTGAGCCGCAGCCCCTCTTTACTGCTCTCCTGGGTCTCAGGCAGAGAGGTCTTTCACATCACCTCCTGCCTAGTCTTTTTAACTGGAGATGCTGGGGATTGAACCTGGGACCTCCTGCATGCCAAGCAGAGGCTCTTCCACTGAGCCACAGCCCCACTTTACAGCTCTCCAGGGTCTCAGGCTGAGGTCTTTCCCATCACCTTCTGCCTGGTCCTTTTAACTGGAGAAGCCGGGTATTGAACCTGGGACCTCCTGCATGCCAGGCAGAGGCTCTTCCACTGAGCCACAGCCCCTCTTGACAGCTCTCCAGGGTCTCAGGCTGAGGTCTTTCCCATCACCTCCTGCCTGGTCCTTTGGACTGGAGATGCCGGGGACTGAACCTGGGACCTCCTGCATGCCAGGCAGAGGCTCTTCCACTGAGCCACAGCCCCACTTTACAGCTCTCCAGGGTCTCAGGCTGAGGTCTTTCCCACCACCTCCTGCCTGGTCCTTTTAACTGGAGATGCTGGGGACTGAACCTGAGACCTCCTGCATGCCAGGCAGAGGCTCTTCCACTGAGCCACGGCCCCTCTTTACAGTTCTCCAGGGTCTCAGGCTAACATTAAGATAAGAGTGTGTTTTAAGCAATAATCATACTTCTTGTTTGTCGCCTGAAGTCTTGAGACTTCTAGCTGAAACATGCCAGGACCGCTTGTCGTTACCCTCAGAACACCCTTCCCCATGAAGTTCACCCGAAAGCCCCGCTTGTTGGCCTTTAGGTGCAATGCAGAAGATCTCTCTGTTCTGGTGCGCTTTGACTGCCTCCTTCTCCGCTGTGCCATCTGCTTGGCGTGAGCCACAATTTAGCAGCACGGCTGTTGGCTGTACATGGCCTCGTGCTCCCGCTGTGTGATTAGTCGCATTTTGCAGCTTGTTGCCATTTTTATTCAGATAAATCGCTGGCCTTTTGACAAGCAGAGTGATATAAACGATGTTAATGATGATTGAGTTCAGTAATTGTTTTTACTTGTCTTCCATTGGCTGCCGGAGGAAGTAGTGATGACCACAGGAATAAACTGCTTGAAAAGTGGACGAGATAGATTCGTGGAGGATACGTCTATCGATGGTTGCTAGCCAAGGCGGCTGAGGGGAACCTCCACATTCAGAGGCACTAAAACTGGATTCCAGAGTCAGGAGGCAACATCAAGTGAGGACCTCGGACTCTGTGCCTTCTTGTTGTTCCTCCAGAGGAACTGGTTGACCTCTGTGTGAGACAGGAGGCTGGATTAGATGGACCCTCAGTGGTCTGATCCAGCAGGGCTCTTCCAATCTTATGAAGGCCTCGGCCTCTCTGCCCTGTTGTTGGCCCTCCAGAGGAACTGGTTGGCTGCTGTGTGAGACAGGAGGCTGGACTAGATGGACCACTGGTCTGAGTCAGCAGGGCTCTTCTGATGTTCTTATGAAGGCCTCAGCCTCTCTGTCCTACTGTTGGACCTCCAGAGGAACTGGTTGGCTGCTGTGTGAGACAGGATGCTGGACTTGAAGGACTGCTGGTGTGATCCTGCTGGGTTCTTCTGATGTTCTTATGAAGGCCTCGGCCTCTATGACCTGTTGCTGGTTGTCCAGAGGAACTGGTTGGCCCCTGTGTGAGGCAGGATGCTGGACTAGATGGACCACTGGTCTGATCCAGCAGGGCTCTTCTGATGTTCTTAGGAAGGCCTTGGCCTCTCTGCCCTGTTGTTGGCCCTCCAGAGGAACTGGTTGGCTACTGTGTGAGGCAGGATGCTGGACTAGATGGACCAGTGGTCTGACCCAGCAGGGCTCTTCTGATGTTTTTATGAAGGCCTCGGCCTCCAGGCCTTGTTGTTGGCCCTCCACAGGAACTGGTTGGCCACTGCATGAGACAGGACGCTGGACTACAGGGACCACTGGTCTGATCCAGCAGGGTTCTTGTTATGTTCTTATGCAATCAGCCAAAGATTACTAAATGTAATATTTTATTTTTCTTAACAGTCCCGTATCTCAGATCATTCCCTTTCCTAGTTTTACTGGGGGGTGGTGGTGTTGTAACTTCTCAAGGGCGTTTAGGACATGGGTTCTCTTATGTTCTTATAGATGGAACACTCTGTCTGGGGCAGTGATGCTCTGTATTCTTGGTGCTTGGGGGGAAACAGAGGGAGGGTTTCTGGAGTTCTGGCCCCACTGGTGGACCTCCTGATGGCCCCTGGATTTTGGCCACTGTGTGACACAGAGTGTTGGACTGGAGGGGCCATTGGCCTGATCCAACATGGCTTCTCTTATGTTCTTATAGATGGAACACTTTGTCTGGGTTAGTGATGCTCCGTATTCTTGGTGCTTGAGGGGAAACAGTGGGAGGGCTTCTGGAGTTTTGGCCCCGCTCGTGGACCTCCTGATGGCACCTGAGTTTGAACCACTGTGTGACACAGAATGATGGACTGGATGGGCCATTGGCCTGATCCAACATACCTTCTCTTGTGTTCTTAACTGGACACACCAGGGATTGAACCTGAGACTTTCTGCGTGCAAAGCAAAGGCTCTTCCACTGAACCCCAACCCCTGCCAGCTGCTAAATCAGAGTGTTGGTCCATCATGGCCAGTATTGTCTACTCAGACTGGCAGCACCCCTCCAGGGTTTCACATCACCTCCTACCTGGTCCCTTTTAACTGGAGATGCCAGGGATTGAACCTGGGACCTCCTGCATGCCAGGCAGAGGCTCTTCCACTGAGCCACAGCCCCTCTTTACAGCTCTCCAGGGTCTCAGGCTGAGGTCTTTCCCACCACCTCCTGCCTGGTCCTTTTAAACTGGAGATGCCGGGGATTGAACCTGGGACCTCCTGCATGCCAGGCAGAGGCTCTTCCACTGAGCCACGGCCCCTCTTTACAGGTCTCCAGGGTCTCAGGCTGAGGTCTTTCCCACCACCTCCTGCCTGGTCCTTTTAAACTGGAGATGCCGGGGACTGAGCCTGGGACCTCCTGCATGCCAGGCAGAGGCTCTTCTACTGAGCCACAGCCCCTCTTTACAGCTCTCCAGGGTCTCAGGCAGAGGTCTTTCCCATCACCTCCTGCCTGGTCCTTTTAACTGGAGATGCTGGGGATTGAACCTGGGACCTCCTGCATGCCAGGCAGAGGCTCTGCCACTGAGCCACAGCCCCTCTTGACAGCTCTCCAGGGTCTCAGGCGGAGGTCTTTCCCATCACTGACTGCCTGGTCCTTTTTAACTGGAGATGCCGGGGAATGAACCTGGGACCTTCTGCATGCTGGGCAGAGGCTCTTCCACTGAGCCACAGCCCCTCTTTACAGCTCTCCAGGGTCTCAGGCTGAGGTCTTTTCCATCACCTCCTGCCTGGTTCTTTTAACTGGAGATGCTGGGGATTGAACCTGGGACCTTCTGCATGACAGGCAGAGGCTCTGCCACTGAGCTACAACCCATCTGCCGTAGGAAGTGATGGGAAAGTTTTTTTCTGTGGCCGAGGCTCTGGAACTCTGTTGATGCCCAGAGTAGACAATACTGAACTAGATGGGCCTCAGGAGTCTGCCTCATTAGGAGGTTGCTTTTCCTGATCTGAGAAAGCCCCACCTGTTAACTTTTTTGTTTGTGAGAAGGGAGGGCGTGCGTGAAGAAGCCTCCTGAGGTTTTGGTGCCTGCTTTGGTCAGACCCTGAGCTGGATGCCTCAGCCTAGCCTGATGTTATCAGATCTCAGAAGCTAAGCAGGGTCATTCCTGGTTAGGACTTGGATGGGAGACCAACAAGGAAGTCCAGGGTTGCTACGCAGAGGCAGGCCATGGCAAATGGCCTCTGTATGTCTCTTGTCCTGAAAACCCTACTTGGGCCACCATAAGTTGGCTGCAACGTGATGGAACTTTCTACCACTACCTTGATCAGCACCTGTAGAGGTGCCCTCCAAAAGTCAAACGCATCCGCAGTACACGAGAGTGGAATACCACTATGAATTTTAATCAGAGGCCATGTCTTTGTGCCGGGAGGCCGCCGTGCAGAGATCTCTGTTGAGGTTTTTGTCCGTTTTCAATTTTTATGGGTTCAACATGATTGGATCGGGTTGGGTGAAGAAATATAGTCTGGTAGAGTTAAGAGACCGCCATCTCTTTTCCTTAATCACTTCGCAAACAGAAATTGGATGAATCTCCGGGATGCAGAAACAGGGAAAATCCTCTGGCAAGGAACAGAAGATCTCTCCGTCCCTGGAGTAGAACATGAAGGTATTTCTGGGCTTTTACTTTGTGATGGGTGTGTGTGTGAGAGGGTCTGACCTGAGCGTCTAGCCTTATTCAGAACTCCCTGATGTGTGATAAGATGGTGGTTTATTGATATAGCACCTTCTGTGTATGCAGGGGTCATTTCATAGAAAAAGGGGTGCAGGAGCTCATTGGCTTAACTCATTAGCATTACTTATTTGCATATGCCACACACCCTGACATCACCGGAAGTGTGTCAGAAGGCAACACCGACTGCTCAGGCTCCACTGGACTGTTTTGGATCGCTAGCTATTGGGGGGGGGGGAAGACATGCAGATCTGCCCTCACAGAGGAGGGAGAGCTTGTACCTGAATAAAACTTGGTCTTAAAGGGGCCACTGGACTGTACTGCAACTTATCTGGCTGCTTCTTGCTCTGAGGGCTGCTGGGAGCAGGGGGTGGAGCTTGTTGCATGTGCCCGCCCCCTGGGCTCTTTACTGCCGGAACTTCTCTCCTGTGCGCTCCTGCAGGAAATGACCCATGTGTACGTAACACTTCAGCATAGGCGACAATGACATTCTCTTCCTCCAATGAGCTTACAGTCTTTCCACAGGGCCCCTTCCTCCCAGGCTGGCCCCAAATTGAATTAATGTAATTAACTTTGATTTAATTAGCTGCACCCCACCCCCGAGGCCCCCTCCTAAAAAAATCCCTAGCTGTGGGAGATCTAAGAAAGGAGAGGGGAAAGCTTTGTTGTTGTTCAGTCGCACAGTTGAGTCCGACTCTTCGCGACCCCATAGATCAGATCACTCCAGGTCTTCCTGTCTTCCGCTGTCCTCTGAAGTTTGCTCAATTTCATGTTAGTTGCATCTATGACACTGTCTAACCATCCTTTGCCGTCCCCGTCTTCTTTGACCTTCAATCTTTCCCAGCATCAGGGTCGTCTTCTCCAGGGAGGGCTCCCTTCTCATTTGGTGGCCAAAGTATTTGAGCTTCCGTTTCATTATCTGGCCTTCCAGGGAACAGTCAGGGTTGATTTCTTTTAGGATTGACTGATTTGATCTCCTTGCAGTCCAAGGGACTCTCAAGAGTCTTCTCCAGCACCATAGTTCAAAAGAATCTATTCTTCGGTGCTCGGCCTTCCTTATAGTCCAACTCTCGCAGCCATACATGACTACTGGGAATACCATTGCTTTGACCATGCGGACCTTTGTTGGCAGGGTGATGTCTCTGCTTTTTATCATGCTGTCTAGGTTCGCCATCGCTTTCCTCCCAAGCTACAGGAGATAAATACGGACCAGCACAATTTTGCATACTTTGTTAACTTTGAGCCAAGCATGGATCAGTCCCCAGTCTCTCGGGATCAAGTCCAGAATTTCTGCCACTGTTCTGGGGTGGCCAGAAATATTTAGTCATTTTACTTTTGTTTATATTTTCTCTCTCTCTTGCTGAGACTGAAGGCAGGTTATAGGATATAGAACACTCTAGAACAAGGGTTCCCTTTTGGGCACCACTTGGATTTTTTTGGGGGGGGCGCCACCCCAAAAGTGGCCGTTGCAGGAGGTGGTGCCAACGGCCCAAACGGCTGCCACAGGATGTGGAACCAAATGGAATTCATCCGTCTTCACACCTCTGGCGAAGAAGGAAAGCTTGAAGGGGGAACGGAGCCAGTGTTCCCTCTAAGCTGAGTTAGTGTGAGCTAGCTCACCGTTTTCTTTAGCCTCCGGCTCACGCATTTTTGTCTCAGCTCCGGAAGGATGGCTCCAGAGCAAACTAATTTATGCAGCAGCCAAATCGTTCGCTCGCAACTTTAGCGCCAGTAAGCTCACAAAGTAGAATTTTTGCTCACAAGACTCTGCAGCTTAGAGGGAGCATTGAATGGAACCACACCACTGACCAAGGAAAAGCCGAGTTCTTTCCAGCAACGCTCCCTTTAAGCTGCAGAGTCTTGTGAGCAAAAACTCTTCTGGTCAGTTTGGCAATACTTGATGTGTCGCTCTTGGCTGTGGCCAGCTCGACCATATCTGATACGTCAGTAGGCCCATATACCAGTCCAGTTCCGGCTCAGTGATGCCTTAACTGTTAAGAGATCCCACCGGGTCCTCTTTTCCTCTTTTAATGAGACACATTCGTGGACCTCAGGGAGCCCGCGAGAAGCAGTGGGGCAGCACACGACTGCAGGAGGCTCGGGCTCCGGGGAGCCGTGGCTTCTCCCGTCTGGCTTCTGACACCCGGTCTCTTTAACACAGCGTGTCTTCGGCTTGTCCTTCCTGAGAGCATTCCTGGCTGTGACTGGAAATGCAGAGCCAGATGGATGGAAGGCCCCGACAAGCCATTAATCTGCCTTTTTGCTGTTTTTTTAAAAAAAAGAAACCCAAGATCCACTTTAGCTTTCAGATCTCTTTGCTCTTTTTTCCCCCATCCAGTGCTTTTTGCAGAAAATCACCAGGCTGTAGCCTGCTTAGTAACTTACATGGGTTTGCTAAAAGGCTGAAAAAATACCATTAAAGCCTATAGAATGGACTCGTCGACCAAGGTAATTCGATAATATCCCCGCCGAGCGGGAAGGGCGACATGCCGAATAGCTTCTGCGCCAGTCCTTTTCTCCCATTTTCTGGAATCGTAGGGTCTCTGCCAGTGTTCCCTCTAAGCTGAGTTAGTGTGAGCTGGATGGGCCACTGGCCTGATCCAACATTGGCGTCTCTTATGTTCTTATGTTCTTATCATGGTGCACCCTAGGGTTATCTCATATTTTTTGCTGGTGAGGTGCAGTGTCATAGGCTATGTTTAAAAGTAAAACGATGGAGCCGAATTCAGTTGTCAGTTGCTGCAACCTGCACTGCGTATCTGATCAGACAGGTCAACCACTAAAATGGACTGGGGGTCAGTGTGGAAAGGAGAGGGGGGCGCCAAGATGGGTCAGTGCTTCGGGCACCCGTGAGCCTTCATCTGCCCCTGACTGCTCGTGTGCTCCAAGCTCAGCCAGTCTCTGGGGTGACATAACTGGAATGGTTCAGTCCCAGTACATAACACCAGGCTTTTGTTAATTCTGTTATTTCGGAAAGGAGGAGGAGGAGGAGGAGGAGGACCCTCTTCTAGATTCTTCCCTGGTACTCTGTGCAGCCGGCTTTTGGTATCTGAAGTCTCAATGTGGGCATCTGCCAAACTTGCAAACTGATAAAGCTGTTCCAGTACATTCCAGCTGAGAGGCTTCAACCGTTTAAAGTCCTGCCCCGTAATTGACTCTTGTGGTATTCCACAGGGCTTGTGCCAACAGTGCATTTCACTGTCTGCCCCTTGGGCTGTTGATAGATTCCCTGCAGGGAACTGCGTAGACGGTTCGGGTCCTGCACCTCTTCCCTTACATGGTCACCAGCTAGGAAGCAATGACTGGCTTGCAGGTTTTCAAGCACCAGAGGATTTGTGCAGTCGTTGATTTGTGCATGATTTGCACGCATTGACCTATGGACTTCCATATGGGGAGGGGCCGCGGCTAAGGGGAAGAGCCTCTGCCTGGCATGTTATACAGCTTTTAAGTCTTGATATATATATTTTTTTAAAAAAAAAGGGAAGGTAAAGGATTTTTATAGACCTGGATTAAAAAGAGACTGGGGATTCAACAGCCACTGATGAGAAACAAATCGAGTACCCAAGGGGGGGGAAGGAATGTGCTTGATTTCTGTCCCAGACCACCTTGGCCTGCTGCAGGGGGTGGGGGGGTGGGTGGATCCCATCCCGCTACTAGCTGATGGGAGGCTGAACAGGTTGCCAACCTCCAGGTGAGTCCTGTAGATCTCCTGGGATTACAAGTGACAAGAGATCATTTCCTGGGGGGGGGGAATGGCAGCTTTGGAAGGGGGGCTCGGCGGCATTAAACCCCACGGGGGACAATCCCCTCCCTGGGCTCCGCCCCCAAATGTCCCAAGCCAGGTTTGGCAGCCCCAAGGCTGAAGCTGGTTTGCCCACTCTGAGAGGGCAGAGAGAGAGAGAGACGCAAGAGCTGAGGGGAGTGTTGGGTCAGAGCAAACTGGAGAGCAGTGCTCCCTCTAAGCCAGAGGTTCCCAAACTCATTTGGCCTACCGCCCCCTTTTCAGAAAAAAAATTACTCAGCGCCCCCCTGGAAATCTGCCTTCAAGAAGTGGACAAAAAGATGCAGTGACAAATTTGCACATGGTAAAGAAAGATGTTGTTGTAAGTAAATGCACATAGTAAAAAAAAATGTTGTTGGCCTGAAGCCAGAGGCCAGCAGCAGCCACCGCACAATAGCCCAGCAGCAACACCAGCCTCGCAAGGATGCACATGCATTTGCAGTTGACAAATGCAGGGCTGTGATTGGCTGTGGGGACCCCCCTCCCCCTCCCCCCCTGATTCCAGGGAAGACCAGGAGAAGGCAGGAAAAGTCTGCTTTAGATAGGTTCTCTGGACTCTTCTTTCTTTATGCTTCCACCGCCCCCTTGTTTTTATTCAACGCCCCCCAATTGCACCCAAGGCTCCTGCCGCCCACCTGGATCATTCCAGCGCCCCCCAGTAGACAATACTGACCATGGTGGACCAGTGGTCTGATTCAGTATACGGCAGCTTTATGCGTGTGTGGCTCCATCAGGCACGGAGCCACTGTGTGCTGCAGGAGATTCTGGGGGTGTTCAAGAGTGCATACGATCCATGTAGGGAACAGGGCAGGCCTTTGAGGCCCCAGGATTGTCCCACTCGAGCAGAGAGAGATCCCTACAACACTTAAGCACTCCCCTGCAAGGCTCAGTGATGAGTGACCCAGGGCTCTTTTTGTAGAAAAAGCCCAGCAGGAACTCATTAGCATAATAGGCCACACCCAACAGCAGGAACTCATTAGCATATTAGGCCACACCCCTGACAACACCGCTCATGAAATTAGGCCACACCCCATGTTACCAGAAGTGTGGTTATCCAGCCACACCCACCTTGTGCTTGTTATTCTGTTTACCTGGTTTGTGGTCGAAACCCAGGGCCTTTTTTTGTAGCAGGGACTCCTTTGCATGTTAGGCCACA